AGTAAAGCAAAGTGGGGTGTATTGAAGAAAAATGAGTAATGGGCCACTCAAGAGAGACCATGACCCTGAACTCCTGGGTTATATGGTTTAAATAAAGGATTTTCTGGGTGAAGACTTTCATTTGCATTCAGGGATGATTGACAAAAAAAGAGTTATATAACTATATTTTTTCTGCACATTCCCTTGCCCATAATGCATACAGAAAAATGTATTGGGGGTGAGGGTCCAAAACCACAATGCCAATGTACACTAATAAAAGACAAAGATGCTAATTGACTGTACCTTTGCTACTCCCATCACCAATCAGAAGAGTATGCAAATTAACCCAACAAAGATGGCCGTTATATTTGCATACTGCAGGCGGGCAGGGCGGGGCAGCACCATCCGCTGCCTGCCCTAACCCCGGGATCGGGCCTGCCCTGTGTGACCCAGGGTGGTGGGGCAGGCACCGCAGGATCAGGCCTGCCATCTGCTACTCAGGGAGTGGGCCTAAGCCAGGAGGTGGTTATCTCCCAAAGGGTCCCAGACTGTGAGAGGGCACAGGTCAGGCTGAGGGACACTGCCCCCACCCCGCCAGTGCACAAATCTTTGTGCACCAGGCCTCTAGTTTTATTATAATTGGTCCAGGACCCTAGTAAGGTCACATTGAGGTCATGTCATTTTCTTCTGAGCTTGCACTAAGAACCCACTGGTTCCAAACCTGTCCACTGGTGTTCTACTGGATGCTGGGCCACCCATAGAGAAATTATCTGAAGGCATTGTGGTCTGACCCCTGTTCAGGACCCCAGGGCAGGCCCCACCCCAGCTGCTCATGTCTAACTTCCTACCTAACACCTCTCTCACTAACTTACTTTCTTTTCTTTTGAAACACCACAAGCACTCCAGAGGCAGGCCTGCCACCTGGAGTTCACAGGGTTGTTCAAGAAAGTCAGGGTTTGGCAGTGCCCTTTCGTAATCTCCAACATGTCAGTCCAACCAAGTAACTATGTCCTAGCCCAGTGGTTGGCAAACTGAGGCTCATGAACCACATGCGGCTCTTTGGCCCCTTGAATGTGGCTCTTCCACAAAATACCACATGTGGGCATGCTTGTACAGTGCGATGGAAACTTCATGGCCCATGCGCAGAAGTCGGTTCTTGGCCTGGGCGAGCCTATTTTAAAGAAGTGGTGTTAGAAGAAGTGGAGGTACATTCACTGAGGTCAACCCCTCAGATTGAGGACTTTTTTTTGTTTGTTTTTAAATTAAATCTTTATTGCTCAGATTATTACAGTTGTTCCTCTTTTTCCCCCCATAGCTCCCCTCCACCTGGTTCCCACCCCACCCTCTGCCCTTACCCCCACCCCACTGTCCTCCTCCCTAGGTCTA